TAGCTGTATGGCCATACTCCTGGCAACGTCGACATTGTGCAATTTCACTAGACTTTCGCATCCTTTCGATCCGTATTTTCTGTCGGCAAAGGGTCTTCACGTGATAAATTTCATTAATATTAGGGCAGGGCTTAATGTTAATGAAAAAAATATTGAGTTTTTCATCTTTATTAACCCTTGAACTAGGGTTGTGAATGTGAAGTACTTCATAGCCTAAACATTTCAGATCGGCCGTTATATCTTTGTTTTGTGTGCTGTGATGTAAGTCCCTTACTACAATTCTGTGTGCTTTTTCTGTCAGCATTTGGTAAGTGTGAAACTGCATACCAATTTCATCCATATAGCTAACAATTTTTCTGTAAGTGTCACTGTCTTTGGGAAATATTCTGACTGTTTCCCCTTGGTTAGCTTTGACTACGACGTTATCTAGACTTGCCTTTTCTTGTATGAGCTCAAATAGGTCATTTAAGTTGCTAATATTAACAACAATTTGGGGTGGTTTTTTAAAATCTTTGAGTTGATTGTTGGCGTTAGATGTTTCCTGGGATTTATTGGCAGTATTGTTTTCTGCAGATTGAAATTCGTCCATGCGGGCACTAGCATCATCGGCATCCTCAGACATCATGTCTTCCCCGTTTTCTTCATTAGTAATGATGTCCGTGTCGAGAATAGCAAACCTGTTACTAGAGCTTGCCTTCTGGTTAATTGTGGGGACCAAGTGCGGGCCCTGGGTACTGCTCACTCTTTTCGGTTTAAGGATGGGGGACAGTGGCTTTGCATTTTTTCTCTTGCCTGCTTTCCGATTTTGATCATCCAGTAATCTTCTGGCAGCACCGCTTAGATTTTTTGCTGCAATGTCGGGGCTGGTCAATTGGGAACATTCTTGGTTTGCTACACTTGAACCAGAACAGATGCTGCTCATTGTGGGATTTGCCATTGTGTATATGGTGCTGCTACTGGCACTAGAAAATGTCACTGTTGTTGTGGTGGGACTGCTTTGAGACTTATTGCATGTAATGCGTTGAATTTCTGATCGGCACTCGTCTCTAATCTTACTAGGTAATTTTCCAGCTATTGAGAACATTTTTTCATGATCAATCTGCTTCTTTATAAGCTGAGAGTCATCGAAACTGTTTTCATTCATTGTTTTTATATTGTCTTAATATTCAGCAAATAATTTGCGGGCCCAAATGTCCGGAACAGAGCATAAACAGTTCGGTTTTACTGATAAGCAAAGTTTGTTTACCTCTTGTGCAGTTCTGCGCGGGGTGAGGTAGATGACTTGCCCGAAGGGCAGAAAGCACCGTTTGAATGCACTTCACCTGATGCACTTTTTGTTTTTGTCAAACTGCCGACACCGCTCAAAGCAGCGCCCAAATAAATGATTTGTGCTATTTTGAGCACAAAAGGGAATGCACCGATAAGCAAAAAATAAATCACTTTTGCATGCGCGCGACACAACCGATCTCTTTGACTGCCAGAGTAGGAATCCAGTAGCCTTGGGTGCACTTACTTATGCACTGGTCACTAAAGAACTTGAGCATCACTAAATTATAAAATATGCAACTGTTTAAGGAGCCCGTCTACACGCATTTTACTTTCATGACATGTGTATTACAACCAAAAACGTAGTTTATATTGCCTATTTTCAGGCTGGGCTCAAAAGTAGGCACGCCTCGTAATCCAACATCTTTAGCCGGACGCAAGGTTAGCCAAGATGAAACAGAATTGCTATGAGTACTTATGACCGTCGGTCCGGCGGTGAAGAGTGATAAAAATCAAAATTTGAATTATCATGAAACTTTCTAGCCACATTTATGGAGCCGCTCTCCTTTATGGCCAACGCAATTGAATTTATTATATTTTGCACGCTTTCTGGCAGCCACGATAAGCGTGTCGAATCTCAAGCACACGTGATTAGGAGCCCCTGACAATCCGAGTAATTTTATTTTTAATTTGTTCTGCTACTGATTTCCATAATCAAAGGAATCGCACACACTACTGCAGTTTTGGCTCGCACCACATTCATTTTTTTAATTTTTTATCGCTAATCGGCAATTTTTTGCCAACAAAATCATATTTATAAATGATTTTTACTACGCAGTTGAGTTGGTGGAAGCCAACTGAAGCAAAAATTGGCCACACACAGCTGTGGCAATTCGCGAAAACAATGACCAATTTGTAGCGTAATATTTACGGGCTCAAATAATAATAGAAAAGAGTATAATAATTAAGAAAAAAATATAAAACGCTTTGCACGCTATATAATATATATCTGCTGATAAACACAGAAATATACCTAACTTTTTAAATATATTTACCCATATTTACAATCGTCGTAAAAAGAATCGACTGGGAAAACTAGATGCCAGGGATAGAGTTATACATATGTATGTATGTATCAGTTGCCACCGCTCCAATAGAAAGTTCTTTGTAAACATTTCCACCTGTCCATATAGCACATTCGCATTCACAAACAGAATCAAATGAGGCTTGACGTAAGCAGAAGAGTTGATATATTTCAATATATGTACAAAGCCATATGTGCTTGTACAATCACCCTGCCAGCCTGATAAGCTTCAGAATATTTGCAAATCTTTAGCGAGATTCGAATCTGACTGGAAATCCCCGCACGGTGAGCTGAGTTCTCCATGAGCGTCTCGAAAATGTAAATCGAACTGCAAATAAGCCTTACTAACATGTTAAAAATAAGTATGTACGTACATGTACAAAAGTTCTAAAAGCATTTTTAAAACATTTCGAGTTGTACAACAGTAAGGGCACATTTACTTCATATACTATAAATATTTACAGTTCCTAAGTAAATGATCTGTCACGATCGCAATCTGTTTTATCGCAATATTTGGTTGCGAACTTCCTGCGATTATTATTCTATATCGCTGGACGATTTTTCTCTGAATAACGGGTATCTGATAGTCGGGGAAATACACTAAAAACGAACCCCCCCTTCGACTATTTATTGCAACTATTTATTCCCACAATAATACCATTACCAAAAATGTATAAACATTTTTGAATTATGCTAGTGGATCGCTTGTACATATCAAAATGTTTATAATGAGCTTATTCACTTTCCAAAGACATTCAGCTACGGGAAGCAGTTCACTCCTCCTTGTTAGATTGTATGCCAAACGGAGCTTTCGAGTGACAACTTTTACACTTATCTTATCAATGGGCTCGCTTCCGTTGTCCAAGAGGTGGCCACGTGTGAAGAGATTTGTTTCCAAGCCAAAACAATTTCTCCTGTCATTTGGTCCCACTGTCCCGCAACAAATTCACGTGGGGCGAATTAAATGTATCTCTGTTTGTGTGTATGTCGGCAACCAAAGAGTAAACATCAACAGGCGGCGAGAGATTCAATTCTAATGATTCATTAGAAAATGTATGTTCGGATTGTTTTTCTCAAATTTTCAATGTTTTCGTCTGGTTTGTGTTTTTACCAATTGAAGGCCAGCAAAGGCAATGCTAACGCTAAGCAAATTGTTGAAACAGTTGGCAAGGCGTCTCGAAACGAAGGCAACTCGGCCAAAAATGCCGGTTATTGAGAAACTTCATGGCTTTAGTTCTTTAGGATCTTGTAAATGAGTCCCTTTGTCTGCGCCGAGCTTTCTAAATCAGCCCATTTTGTTGGCAGTGTTTGGCAAAACACAAACAAGTTTCACTTTTCGAATTAGTTTGCCTTTTTTTCCTGAGTTTAGGTTCGTTTAGAACTAGTTTTGGTAACTAGCTAAGTGCCGCAGCACCAGCTAATCAAACCACTTTCGGCTGAATTTTTTCCACAATAAAATCGAACTCAAAAGTCAGAGTCGTCAGCGGGAAATTTGCATAAAATACCTGAGACTCGAACTTCTGGCAGAGATTTGGTTACCATATTATGGGGATCTTGAGTTGTTGGGCCAGAATATACATATATGCATACGCAGCTAGCGATTAAGAGTGTCGGAGATTCAAGGCAAGACATCGGTATTTCCGTATATTAGCATCGCATTTGTCTCTCTCGATTGCACAAAATCGGTGGCGCCAAATTGACGCTGTCGGTCAGGGCGTATACGTAATATTTCCCCAATGCATAATCGTAAACAACAAACAAAAAGAATATAAAGGGAAGAGATAACAACCTGCAAAACAATTGCAAAAAAAAATAACATCAGGGGAGAGAACTCTTAGATTGCTCGCTACAAGTTGTGCAGTATAGTTTTGGCTCCATTTCGCAACTCCCAAAATGAAATCAGCTTATCAAAAATATATGGATGACTAAGCACTTGCGTTTCTGCCTCTTTTTCCTTATCAAATTTCTTGTTTGTGTGCCATTAATTATGGCTGCTTCCTTCGGTAGCTGCTGAAGCTGATTAGAACGCAAACTTCTCGAAGGGTGACAACAGTTCACGTATGGAAAGTTACGAAAGTTTGGGGGCCATCATTGGCTGCGTATATGATTTTAAGTATTCATATTCCAACATTACTCTCAAGTATCTTATGATCTTATGGAGGTCTAGCATCTCCAGTATTTGTGGTAAATGCATATAACCTTATCAAAAGTATCCCATTTAGGATTACACTTGAAAATGTTAAATGAAATCGATCGCATGTAAATTCAAAGAGTCATTTGGAAACGTATACAATATCAGTATTTCTACTTAAGCTCTACTTTATCATGTTTCAAAGCGCGTTTTTCCCGTGAACTTTCTGAACTCATATTTGTGGAATTTCCGTTTAAAACATAGGATTATAAATCAATACATTGTCAAAGAATTGCGGAGATTTCTTTCTCTGTTTTTCACGAGTCAGAGGTTGTTCTCTTTGTCGTAGATTTAAGCTAAGATCTACTATTTAAGTTCACCCATTCAGCAGGTTTTTAGACTCCATTTTCTAAAGATAGCAGATACAGCGACGCTTAAGTCAAACTGCCAACTGTGCCAATAAATAAGTTCGTTTACGTAAATAAACAGCAGACACCCATCGAATATTATTACTTTAACTTACATACTTCTACACAATATCTGTGCTATCCGTTCTGGACTCACCTGCATTATGGGATACGCGACACGTCCTTTGCCGAACCGCTCTATGATCGTCAGCTTGGTGGTACTGGCCATGACTCCGGCTATGTTGGAGGAGGACAGAACCGGACGCGGCGGAGGGACGATGGGCACAAAGTCGCGATTCCTTTCGGCGAAGGTGCGATCGAACGAGTTGCGTCGGTCGCTGTGGGAGCGTCTGTAGGTCGCGTGGTTGCCATTACCACCGCCAGCGGTATTGGGCCCCCGACCCGCCTGATGTCCGCTTTGTGAGCTGTTGTACTGGGATACGCCCATGTAGGACTTGGACTTGCGATACTGCTTGGCGGCGTAGACAGTCGGCTCCGGGTAGTGGAGATCGCTGTGATTGCTGGCGGTCTCCGATCCGGAACTGGTTGACGACGACGAGAAGGAGGCAGAAGCGGAGGAGGTGGACGCGGATGAGGCGGAGGAGACTGTGGAGGCAGTTACGGCGGTGGTCAGGCCGGAGATCATCGATGGCTTGGAGCATTTGGCACAGGGGACGGCCAAGGCGGCTGTCAACAGCTCAGCGGGATTCATTTTTCCCACACCACTGTCCAATGTTGCCGGTGTGTCCAAGAGGTTGCTGCTGCTATTGGTGCTGTTGGTGCTGAGGCTGTTTATGTCGATGCTGCTCCTGTAGCTGTTGGTTCTGTAGTTGCTGCTGTCGCGTGGCAGCGACTGCAGAAATATCTGTTGGCGTTGTGGCTTCGCTTTTTTGCCGCTGCGTTGCTGTTGCTGCGGCTGATGTCCTTTGCCTGCATTCTTTTTGTTGTTGCCGCTGTTGTTATTGCTGTTATTGTTGGGCTTTGCGTTTTGGCCCTTGTTTGCTGCTGGTTTGTGTACCGCTTTGTTGTTGATGTTGCTAAGGTCGCTGCTGTTTTCGATGTTGCTGCTGTTCTTGCCCGCCGCCGGCAACATTGCCTCTTGCTGCCTCTCCTTGTCCTTGTCCGCCTTCTTGCCATTTACCTTGTTTACCATTTTGGGATTGCCCTGTTAACTGTTATCCGTGCTGCGCTTCTATAGTTCCGTTAGTTCTCTTCGTTCTACGTTCCGTGCGCAATTGGCTTTTGGCTCGTGCTTGCGCTTGTGTTTTGTTGTTGTCGCTCTTGGCTCTCTCTAAATGTCTCTGCTTATCGGCTATCTCACTCGCACGCGCGCATTCGCTCTCGTTTTCGTTGAGCTTTTTTTGTGTTTTTAGTTAGTGCCACGTTTTGTTGTTGGCGCTCAGCGATATTATATTTTGTATATTTCGCTTGTGTTCTTTTATTTTTATATTAAATGAGCTTTTGTTGTACACCTTTTGAAATGTTTTTAATCACGAAATTCACGAATGTTGTTTCTCACTTGCTAACACTTTTTTAACTGCGTCTTCTCGGCAAAATTTGTGTTCTTTTCTTTTGCTACCCCTTTTGGTTTGGATGGCATTTACCGCAAGATAAGGAAGGGAGCGAGAGTGGCAGCGTATCACCATGTAAAGAGAGCAAAGAAAAAGAGAGGAAACAAAATTAGTTATTGGATATTTGCTTTCTCAAATAATTGTTTTCGCAATTCCGTTCGGGACTTTTGCTTATCTGTTCTAAATGCATTTGATTTATTTTTAAAAAACCAAAATCTCTTATGAACCCGTATTCCTCACACTTGCCCATCCGTCCCCCTTTTTGGTAAGTCTTTATCACACATTTTGTTTTTGATTAACTGCTGTGACTTCCTAAAGGAACTAAAAGTATAAAGGTCCCCCCTCATTTTCAAACGCGCAATTCGTATTACTTATTTTTTGAGTCCATTCAAAAAAGCAAAAACAAAAGGCCGAAAAATAGCGCATAATATATAAAAATACATATGTATGTATGTACATATGCCTGTATGTATTTAAATGCTTGCCATTTGGTTCTCACTCTTTCTATCCCCCAGCTCGATGATGTAAGTTTTCGTATCGGAATGCTTTATTTCGTTTTCCCTTGCTCTTCCTTTCGCCACCTAGTCGCCGAATAAATGTGTGATGATCAGTAAACTGACCGACCACAAGATCAATAACTTGTATTCCCCATAAACTGCTAAGTTTTCTTATTAAACTCTTTGAAAGTGCACTTAATCCGTTTGTATACTAATGTTGTTAGTATAAATTCACTTAGAAGGTTTATTGTTTCTTTAAGCAATTGAAAGTCTTCAGATCAGAATTCGCATAGCATTTACTCAAGTTGATCAGTTACCAATATGATATGGCTACATACATATACATATGTACATATGTATGTGCACATTGGTCTGATCCAATCACTGCCTGCTTTATAATATGAATACCCTCTGTAAGGGCATAAAAAGTAATATGGCCCCTTACGAAATTAACAGTTCTAGAGGTACTTTTATTGTTTTTTACCAGACTTTATGACTCAATCGCAATGGGAGAAATTCGAGCTGATCTTTTACAAATCAGTTAATTGCCTTCCAGAATTATCAAACACTAACCGTTCTTGAACAAAAGAGTGATGGATGAACGTAGGAACAACGATAATTATTATTTTCTTAACGAGCAAACGTATTAGTTTTGTGTCAAATAAATACTAAAAAACATTTGAGGTTTCCAACGTGAGTTAAATTGCATTGTTATTGCAAGTGTCTTACAGAGTTCATTAATTCAAGAGGCTACAAACGTTTTGTTTTAAAAGTTAGAGATCGTTAATTTAAATTTTTGCCTTAAATAACAAAAAAATGATTCAAATTGCAATAAGGTGATATTATAATTTCAATTTACATACATACATTGTACATATGTATTAACAAATTGTTTCTTCGTCCTCTTTAAGCTTCGGTTCCAAGTTTGATCCATTGTTTTCAAGTTATTTTTTGCATTAAATGTTTACGGATGCTCTCAACATATGTAATGCAATGAAACATAGGAAACCAAACCACTTAGAGAGGATTTCGGGTTGAATAATATCTGAAGGTGTTTTCATCTACATATCGTACATATGTATTTCTACACCGACAAAAAATAGAGAAACCGGAAATGCCAGATGCCAAGACTACCCAAGAACGTAAAGGGGTGATGTAGGGAGGGGGAGGGAATGGTGTATGGTGTGGTGTGTGCCTAGATCGTTATACGCATTTCTGGTTTGCTTTTCATTATAGGCAGAACTGAACACCATGCACGCTGCGATCCACAGATCACAAATACCCCGGACCCTGAGAATCGGCGCTGCAGTCACGTAGACCCACTAATTGAGCGAGATCAATAACGGTGATTGTGTGTGCACCAATGTGCGCGTATGTACATACGTATGTACTTATTTACCTGAACAATTCGGACAGCTCGTGGCTAGTCGCGCATTATCCAAAACTACGCAGGACGGCTTCGGGTTTTGCTGAATAGATGCCGCCGGGTGCTCCTTCCTCGGAGAACAGAATCCTAGCTTAAGTTGGGCACGGATTACTGAATTTCCAAAGTGATCGGCTATCGGTATCGCTATCGGCGGTGGGCTATTGGAATCGGTATGCTATCGACGACGGGCAGCAGGGTGTGGGTGAAGTTTACCGTTCCGGCGAACCGCTGGCAGAGCGCCTTAAACCAAAGTCGAAGGGCGGGCCAGGATGGCGATTAGTGAATCCGGTATTCGGTTTCGATTTTGGATTACTACGGCAAGGTAACAAGCGAAAACTTTCGGTTTTCTCTGCGCTCAGTTCCTGACAGCTAACACCTGAATTGCTCGATTACCGTTACTTTTCGTCTTACGGTACCGTTGCACAGCACACACGTAGGAACACTCACGCACACACACAACACACGCGTTCGCTCACTCAACTCCAAACTTTGCGATTTTCGATTTTGAATTTGATCTTGATTTCGAATTATTTCAATTTCACTTTTTTCGGTCGCCTCTTGTCGTTGTTGCGTTGTTGTTTTCGGACCACGCGTTTCGATCGTTTCGTTTTGCGGAAGCTTGCCCAAAAGCTTCGAGACTGTGATTTTTCGATTTGACAGCAAAAAGGGCTGAATAAAGTTGCACTTGCACCTGGCTGAAAACAGCGATATTCTGTTGAGTAGAATTGTTAGTTTCTGCAAGATTAACTGCACTGCTGGTGAGTTGCTACAGTCAATAGTCTGTCTAACGGCTGCTCTGCGTTCGATCGGATCTCGGTGGGCACTGTACTGCTCCCTGTTTGGTCTACTTGAGTGTCGAACATGTGACGAGCAACTGATGGTGCTGGCCCGCTCCACTGGTCCGCCGGCCAGGCGAAGACGCGCGACGGCGGCAGCAGTACATCGTGTACAGTAGTACCTGCCTATAACTTTCCACGTTAAAAATCAATTTTTTGAAATCTCCGGCCATTTGTTCCAAATACATACATATGTATGTATTTATTTTAAAATAATAATTAAAATTAATTATAATACAAATTGAAATACAAGCCAGATATTCGCACCGTGCATTGACATTAGTAAATTTATATTTACGTTAAATAATTTTATAGCACGTTCTGGAAGTTTCTAGAGTTTAAATGAGTTTTGAAACCGTAAATTTATGTGGAGGCACACAGTGGAGAGGGTTATATGTGCTATTAAATATTATAAAAACCTATAGCCATCTCGATAATTAAATTTGATTGAGCTTGCCGTTGCCATTGCCGTTTCACTGTAGTGAGTGTGGGCAAAGCGGAGGCGCCGACAATTCTAGAGATTGCCATCGAAAAGTTCGCGAAACGGAATTAGCAACAACAATTAAGTCGGAAATGAGCAGCATACTGTCTCTCTCGCTTTCTGACTATACTAAGCTCCCCTCTTCACACGTACGGAAACAACCATGTCTTTCTACCTTCGGCGAAGAGAAGCTTTTAGAGCTTTTGAGTAGTAGGTCAAGAAATGCCTTGAAGATATTGTTTTTGTCCGGTTTTCACTTTTTAAGCCTAGTTTCTAACTGATTTATCTGTGCCTAAAAGATATGATCTACAATAAGGTGGGGGTGGCGAAGTGGGAGTGAGAGAGAGGAATAGAAGACGACTGAGCTTTTTACGATCACTTTGTTGTAATAACGAAATACCGGCCGGCGTTGGCGTTTCGAAATTGAGAAAGCGCCGACCTTGTGCTCTCTTTACTTGCCTCCCCTCTTTCTCTTTCCTTGGAACGGGTGTGAAAGAGCGAGAGGGTTGGGGTGGCAACCGAATGCTAATTAATTTAAAGCTTTCTCCCCGTCTCTGTCGCATCAGAAAAGCTTGCCGATCAGCGAGATATTACCATTTATGCATATGAATTATAGTCTTTATATAGGATCTAGCCCACTGATCCTTAAAAATCTGTAGAAACAAATAACAAGTGCAACTGCTGTGCGCTCGGGATGACGATCACGTGACCAAGGCTGCAAAACTGCGACTAGCAATACATAATTGGCGAAGAAGCTAAAATCACATTGTCAGGGCGGTATTCTTGGCTGTCGCCGATTCAATAGCTAAAGCGTCGAAACAAACCCAAAAATATTTTAACACATCCACCGGTTGATAGTCTCGTAGACCAAATGCGATGCGTAGTAGCCACGCGGTCAATAAGACACTTCAATTATTTTGCCAACAAACTGAATAGGGCATGTGCACGTATTTATAAAAACTGCGTGAATCCGCAGTAAACAATGATTAAACCATTTTTTCGACGCTCTTAAATTCCATCAATCATGTTGGTTTGTTTTCGGATGTGGCGCATATCGCCTAATTACACATAACTCACATATGTATGTATTATGTAAATTATTAGTATTATTAAAATTAATATATTTAAATATTATATTTCAGTAGCCTGATTTATGCACTGCATTTAATTATAAACTCTTTCCTGGTTATTTAAATATATTGTGGACAAAAGAAAACATTTTGAAATTGCATTTTGTAAGCGTTAGCTTTGTAGTTTTCTGATTGTACACATGACTCATTTGGACAATCTTTTCCATTGAGCTTTTCACTTTAGGGAATTTTAAAAAGTTAAACACCTTTCATTTAGCAAAACAGCCATAAATAAATGCAAACACGATGCTCAACAAATCCAACAGAAAGAATAAGAAGTTTCCTCAACAAGTTTGCAATTTCATAGTCTCGTCCAGAAAAGTCCAGAAATCTATAGATACAAAATGTTGGTTGTAAATGTTTACAATCTTATGCTGCTGGCAACATTTGAGTGCAACATACGAACACATTTCTATTCATATATGTATACATATACATATGTATGAGGCATCTGAACACATTAGTATGAATTTTATTGCCGTTGTTGTCATCGATACACAAATATGGTTTTAAAAAAGGTTAATCCACTTTGAAAGGTTTTACTGCTAATATCTTTTGACTTTAGATTTGCGAAATTGACTTATTTTATCATCAGCATTGGTATGCATATCCACATCTTTCATTTCCAATAATAGTTATGTAAGTACTTAATATATTTTAAATTTTCGTAAAATATTTGTGTACTATTTGATGAAAAAAGTTGCTGTTGTAAACGAATTCTAAAAGCATACTCTTTCGATTTTACAATTTTTAAAGATTTTAAAGTTTACTTCATAAAAATCGCTGTGCATATACAGCTCCTCCAGCCACTATGGCGCCCAAAATAGTGGCGCCGGCAATGCGCTTCAGCAGCTGATCCTGCCACTTCCGGTTTGCAATGCACTGACGGTAGGGCATACTGGAAAAGGAGACGCTGTTATAGAGAGGAATCCAACCAGGAAAGAGACGGAAGAGCAGTGTGTCCAGAGATTTCCGGAGCCGGAAGGTCCAGCGTTTGGTCAAGTCCCGCATCTGTAAAGTGGGGAATACACGAAATACAATATGAAACCTTAATAATTTTAGCTCCGAAACCCACCTCCACATAATTGTACATAGCCAGATCGCAAATGGCAAAGGCGTCTTGCCAGCGAGATTCGGTAAACAGGGCCAACGTCTGGTCCAGTGGCAGCTGCTTGGCCAAAATGTCGGTGAGTAGCGTGACATCCTCCATTCCAGCATTCATTCCCTGGCCGTAGTACGGAACCATCGCATGGGCGGCATCGCCCAGGATGAGGGCCTTATCCGCATAGTGATACGGCTTGCACTTGATGGACACTAGGAACTGTGGCTTGGTCTTGAAGAAGTCCTTTATGAGCTGTTGCTCTCCAATCAGGGGCAGTGCGTCCCGGAAGTTCAGCTTAAAGAATGCCAGGAGATCGTTTTGATTCTGAATTGTAGCAAAGACATCAAAGGGCATGGACAAGGTGACCGTGAAAGACTTATCCTGATTCGGCAGGGCAATCATCATAAATGTGTTACGCGGCCATATGTGCAGGTAGTTGGCAGGCATCTGGAAGTCCCCCGATTTCGAGGGTATGGAGAGCTCCAGATAACCCGTTTCTATGTACTCCTGGGAGTAGTTGAAGCCCGGCAAGCGGACCAAGTGCTGGCGTACGCTGCTGAAGGCTCCATCACAACCCACTATAAGATCTGCTTGCGCTGCTACAGCTTCCTTGGCGGGATTCCGGAATTCCATGGATCCCTCTCTCAGATTAGCACTTGTTAATTTGTGCTCGAAGTGGCAGTGGATATTGGGTAGCTTATCGCAGGCATCTAAAAGGACTTCGTTCAGCTGACGGCGTCCCACGGAGTACAGGCATTGATTGCCTATGGGATCATATAGGACCACACTGGAGTTCCCCCTCACATCGTGGAGCATTCTACCCCGCATTGGTATGGCGGTGGCCAGCACCTCTTTCTCGAGTCCCACGGCGGCCAGCGCCTTTCGCCCACGCTGGGAAAGAGCCAGATTAATACTCCTGCCCTGAACCACTAGGGCTTGGCGGATATCCTCCCGGTACTCGTACAAGTCCACGTGGTTGCCCATGCGGGCAAAGTTCAAGGCTGCCAGAGAACCCACCTAATGTTATGGAGAAGAAGATGCACAGAAAACGAGATAAGAGCACTATATCTGGAACCAGGGATTTGGAAACACTAAAGATAAGGCATCTAACTATAGTAGCATAAATGGAAGATTCTTAGGCTTGATGCATGCACGATTTATAAGTTGAAAATGATGTGGAAAATAATTCGAAATTTACTTTCTAGTATTCTAAAACTATTATTATAATTATAACGATGTGTATTTTATTATGATCAAGTGGTATACCAAGCATTGAAATATTCCGTCTCAACATATTTATAATATTTAGATTAGATTTGTACGCTCACTTAAGTCAAAGTACTGACTACTCTACTCTTAATATAGAGCATATTATGTAAGTGGTCTATTTTTATAGACTATATAGCTGTATATGATTTCGTATCGTGTTTAAAACATGTAACAATTGTATATTTCAGTTAACTCAACTTATAAGACTTTATCACACTTACAAGTCCTGCTCCTACAACCGCCACCCTGCGCCGTCGTCCATGTCTCTCGTTTCCGGCAGCTTCTGTAGACTCCTGGCGGCCGTTCACCTCCTGGCTGATGATTCCTGGGCTCATGACTGTTCTGGTGGCTTGTTGGCAGCGAAATGAAGATGGGATTGAGATGGAAGCCAGTCAACTGGCTGGGGAAATGTTTAACCAAGAGATTATGTCAGATGGGCAGTAAATGGTATCTATTGTTGTTTGATGTTGCTGCGTGAAGCCAACAAAATGCAGCGGCGTAGCCACAAACATTCATCTTGGGGCCTCTTTCCTAAGTTGAGGTGAAGAAAATTTAGGTTTTATACCCGATACTCGTAGACCAAAAGGTTTTAAAATATTCGTTCGGAAGTATGCAACTGTTTTAAGCAATCTAAATATAAATTCACTAAACATAAGTAATGGGAAAATGTATTAATATAAATTAAAATTTACAAACTGTTTTAATTTTTCCTTATTACATACAATGTTACATGTTACAAAATGTTACAAATTACATACCTATGTTAGGATAGACAAGGAGAAAACATAAGATTAAGCCTACACAGAATTAGAGATAAGGAAACATTAGATTAAGCCAGTTCAAGTTACATGATATGATTAAAAATTTTAAACAGATAAGAACTGTAAATGGTGAGTGAGTCAACACTAAAGATTACTAATGAAATGGAAAACGGTTTGAATAAATATTATTTTTGCACTAAACTGTGGACGGAATGTCCTCCTCCAAAAATGTTTATTCAGCTATAAGTAAAATTACTTATTACCTGAATGGGTAACAAATTTTACATTTTAAGAATATTTATAAAACAAGTGAGATGTTTTCCATACAGTAAGCAGGTGATTCATTCAAGAATATTGGTAAAAGCCGCGTTAATTTAAATTAAAATGACAAACCCTGCCCACCCTGTCAACGCGTTGCCAACGATAAGCTTTCTGGTATTTGTTCCTGCGCACCAAGGTTTTTTTTGTCGCTCGAACCACGGTCACACCAAAAGCTGCTGTGGAAAAACTCATGCACAATAGAAAATAGAAAACGGAATATTTCCACAACAAAACCGTAATTCGGCGCCCCAAAAACCTCAGTAGCATGTGCAGGATAGCCCTCGGCGTTGGACTTTAAAGGAAACTAGAGGAAAACCAAGAGCGGAACGACGAAAAAAGAGAACTCTATTCGTACTCTATAGATAGCATCCAAGGAGAACCACAAAAGGCGAAACCAAAATGGTAATAAAATGCCACCAAAATATGCGAAGAACAAGTGCCAGAGGGGAAGGAGGGAAGAGGCGGACAGCGGAAAAGGGCGAACAGTGAGCGCAGGAAGGGAGTGGGAGCCTGTACCGTTATAAAGTCAATTTGCGTTCCGCGTTTCTTTCCACCCCCCCACCTCTTCATCTCTTTTGGCATTGCAAAATATTAAAATTCCCCAATTAACATATACATTTTTAACTGCAGGGAAATGAAACATCACTGCCCATGGAAATGTGTTCCAATTGTAAGTACGAAATAGTTCACTCAATGTCATTTAAACGGAATGGCAGCTGTTTATGAATATGCAAACATGGGCATATAGAAGCGTCCGTTTAGATACGGTATGCATGTACGAATGTACGCACGTATGTACATATGCATGTATATATGTATTGTATGTAAATACGCGAATGGCCAACAAAAGTGGAATGCAAACGAAACGTGGCGTAGAAATACAATTTTAAATTCCCAAATCTTATTCCGCACCATCACGAGATCTTACACCTAATCATCCCATTTCAAAATTGACATTGAGATTGTGTCTTTGTCACAATTTGTCTAATATCTGATGATCGACAGACAAGATTATGCTAAATATAAATCGACAACAATCTTAACCAGAAGCTCGAAATATGGGCTTACTAACATGGTGCATAAATTGCAGACATGTGCAAATTATGTTTAACTAGTTACTTAATAGTACCTTAGCTAGAATATTAATTGAATAACTTTTGTTTTAATTTTGTCAATTATATTTGTGACAAGGTAGAACTTTCATAAGTAAAATTACTTACAAGTTCTTTACAGATACACATGAAAACACACCATTCAAAGTGTTTAAAACATTTATTGATTTTAAATAACGTTATAGAAATTGTATAACGATTTTTAAATTATAAAAAAAGTTTTAAGAGAAGATAGCTTATGGAAAATCCACTGTAATCATACTTTAAGCGCTCTTGTCACTGCAGTGCATAAGGAATTCGAATTTCGAACTAAATCTTTTCCAATATTTCCCGCTCTTCTCCAGTCGACGCCGATGAGATCCGGCGGTTGGGCAAACGTTTCCGGAAACTTGACCTGGACAACTCGGGCGCGCTGAGCGTGGACGAATTCATGTCGCTGCCGGAGCTGCAACAGAATCCGCTGGTGCAGCGCGTGATCGACATTTTTGACGCGGACGGCAACGGCGAGGTGGACTTCAAGGAGTTTATCCAGGGCGTGTCCCAGTTCAGCGTCAAGGGCGACAAGCTGTCCAAGTTGCGCTTTGCCTTTCGCATCTACGACATGGACAACGATGGCTACATTTCCAATGGCGAGCTGTTTCAGGCAAGACCCGCGAATTTTACGCTAAGCTTATCGCACTGAAAAGTTGTTTTAAAGGTTTTAAAGATGATGGTCGGCAACAATCTGAAGGACACGCAACTGCAGCAGATTGTGGACAAGACGATCGGCTTCGCGGATAAGGATGAGGATGGAAAGATCTCGTTCGATGAGTTCTGCTCTGTGGTCGGCAACACGGACATTCACAAGAAGATGGTAGTCGATGTCTAAAATAGGTTTAACGCAGATCCTTTTCTACGCGATGTTATTTATTTATTTTATACACGTCGGCATCCTTCGATTGTCACTATCACCACTATTCATATGGTTATTATTTTTGATCGGCGATTCTCTAGTTAAATATTGTTATGAGCCTTTGGCGAGCCAGTTCAGTCAGTCAGTCAGTCATTCAGTCAGTACAGCGATCGAAGGCTTAGGGGAGTAATCGCGAATGCAATGTTGTTATCCTAAGTTGAAAAGTGGAATAATGCGCCTCCTACTTACTTCTTAAATATATACATCTATATACTTATATATAAATGCATATATAGTCATAATTTATTATACAAATATACATTTAAAGAATTCAAAAACCCTAGAAGCAAAACTAAACTAAAGCGGAAACCAACTTCGTGCAAGTAAAGGCAAATAAAGCAAACCAAGTTGAATCAATGCTTTTCGAATCGGTAAATGAGAGTTCTCCACTTTCGCTCTATCATGTTGATGTTATATTTCTAATTCTCCTGTGATTTTGCCAAAAACAAAACAAACAAAACAAATCGAAATGCAACAAATCGAAATATGAAGTATGATGAGAAGGACACAAGCACGGGGCAGCTAAGCAACCTGCCCGAAGGAGCTCTCCTCTATTGACTTAGTCTAATTTACACGTTGTGTACTTTTTATATATTTATACATACCTACTTATACTAATCGAATGTTATAACCTACGTATTTTTATATATCTTGACTAACTTGAAAACACCAGAGGAAGGCGAAGTTTGCCAAGTTTCTTAAGTCTACCTTAACCAATTTAACGCCACTTAACTCAAATTAAACGATTCTCACGCAGAATTATGCCTCGAAAGTTTTCTAAAATATGATAAATTTTGCAGTTTATAAAGCGAGTTAACTGAAAATCGAATAATTATACATCAATACATATGAAGCAATGCCGTGCGGTGCGAAGCGCTCTTGCAGTAACATTTTTTTATACCTAATTATACTAGTTAAAGATGCAAAAAACCAAATAGTAAAAATGCATGTTACAAATTTTACAATTAACAAATTTTTGCACACTCGCCACTCAATTTGTTAGCTAATCAATTCCATTGCATTATTCAAAGTAATCGACTCGAGATCATATCTCATTGTAAAATGGTGTAGCCAATTAGCTGGGACTCCATCGATAGGCCCGCATGGAAGGCTCAGCTTGCTGGCCAGTCGAAGCAATAATAAGCAAATCCTTCAATAAAATTATAATTATACACTAACGAACATAGGTTTTCAATGGTTGCGATGGTGAAGCTACAGCAAGATAAGATAAGGTCTGCGGCAAAAGCTTGCTCACTTTTGAGTACTCCTTTTCAGTTGTGAAATAATCAGCGGTCTGCAAGGTTCTCTGTGGGATCGGAAACATGTTGAAGCTGGACACCAAAGGAGGAATCATCTGCTCGGGCTGCCTGTCCATAGCCTTTGCCATAACCTATTTGGCTTTGAGGGACGATTACTTCTGGAGAAGTAGGAGTATATACAAACCATTCTCGGAGATCTTTTCGATGCATAGTGCTTTTTCGTTTTAGATGTACTTTTCGAACTGGGGATACACATTTCGTCACTGCAGATATTGGCCAGCCTGGTTCTCATAGCAGGAGCTATAAAGGTTAGTAAGGTACACACATCACAGCCCCAACACTCTTATCACTTTGCGCAATACAGCAAAACTACAAGTTATTTGTGCCATGGATGATAACCACAGGATTCTTTATGTACCTGATGGTTTATCTGGTCTTCGGAGAAACGTGGATACTCGGCTCGGCGATTGCGGTCCCGTTCATAGGTGGGGTAGTTAGCAAACAGGCATTAAGCACCTATTTAACCAAAACTATGCACTTTCAGTCTATCTGGGCTGCGCCTTGTATTCGGTGCAAAAGGCCTTAGACAGGATGCGCAAGGAGGAGCCACCAGCATATACCAACTTGTCCGACAAGAATTTCATTAATCATATATAGAGATTGTGACCACTTAAAATGGAAGCAAAAAGTATAAGGGTAGATCAGATAGCTGGAAAATAAAAGTTCATTAAACGGTATTTGAATCAAACCTAGAACGTTGTTTTTTCTTATCTTTATTAACGCTTATCGCGTTGTTAAAGGGGCAATAATTATATTTAATATGGTAAAGAACTTTTCAACGGTTTTATTATATTTCTAAAATATTTTTTCACTTGATTTGCCATCATTAAATTCGCTTAACTCCCACAGCCGTCCAAAACTGCCACGCCCACAATTTTTCGATTTTTTTTAAAATCTGCCATGCCAATTTCTATCGGTATGCCAAAAAAGGTATTGGCACGCCCACTTTTGAAATATGTGTAAATTTTTGTTCATTTTATTATTTGTCTTTTCAATTTCTAGCGTCCAAAACTCCCAGGCTATCTTGTTTTTTATTATAATTTTACCTTAGTTATATGAACAAATATATTATGCCATTTATTTTTACATGTAAAGTACTTCTTTTTTCCATAGCACAAGACTTGGTCTAGTTACACCAAAAGAATATATTTATAGTCCGATTTCTCCAAAACTTCTTATATTTAAAGAAATATTAAAATTCTGAATTTAAAATTCTAAAATGAGAGCATTTTTCAAATATCCCGCTCTTTGCAGCCCTGGCTGATACTAATCGATTCGATTCTGTAATGCCGAAAAGCTATGTACCAAGCAGCATATGACCTTCCATGACCTTGGTTGTACTCATGAGAAAGCAGCTTTGGATAAGAATGCAGGTCGATATTGTACATATAACAACAAACCATCTTTCCACAAAAAGAAAAGAAAACATATATGAATGTGTATATAGGGTAGGTTCAATTGGACGTTATAAGTTGTCTTCCCGAAAAATCGAAAGCAAACAAACAGCATCCGCACAGGGTTCCAAGTTCAGCGATAAGAAAATAATACTATCTGTTTGTTATCTGCGAATTAAAGACTCCCAGAACTGGCAACAACATAAGTACATAAATAGAAACGTCGTTCCTTTAAGTTTTGGGTGGCTCCCAGGCGAAACAGAGATACTTTCTACGTATATGTGGCATACCTCAGCCAAGTCTGCCTGTCGATGCCCTGATATAACCTTCACACGCCCTTCGGCTTACACAAGCAATGTTCATTCTATGCACAAGATTTATTTTTTAAATAGCTGGCATTTAAATACAGTAACAGGGCGATACTTTATTCAACAACAATAAATAGATTTGCGTAGTTATGGCTATTTTGTGCATTCGAATGGTAACTTTAAGAGCCAACCAGGAAAAGCATTTTCAATTGCGCGCCTTTTGGATTATGCAACAGTGATTCCTGACCAGCTGCTGGGCCCCGGGTTTGTACGATTGTGGCGCTTAGTCCTTGCTCTGCATATACTTGATCAGGTCGATGACGCGGTTGGAGTAACCGAACTCGTTGTCGTACCACGAGATTAGCTTGACGAACTTGTCGTTCAGCGAAATGCCAGCCTTGGCGTCGAAGACCGACGAATGGGTATCGCTGAGGAAGTCGGTGGAGACAACCTCCTCGTCGGTGTAGCCCAGGATTCCCTTCAGGGGTCCCTTGGACGCCTCCTCGACCTTAGCCTTGATTTCGTCATAGGAGGCTCCCTTGCCCAGGCGGACAGTAAGATCCACCACGGAGACATTGGGAGTGGGAACGCGGAAAGCCATGCCGGTCAGCTTTCCATTCAAGGCAGGGATGACCTTGCCCACAGCCTTGGCGGCTCCGGTGGCGGCCGGGATGATGTTTTGGGCGGCGCCACGTCCATCGCGCCACAGTTTGCCAGAGGGACCGTCGACGGTCTTCTGGGTGGCAGTGGTGGCGTGCACGGTGGTCATCAGACCCTCGACGATCTCGAAGTTGTCATTGATGACCTTAGCCAGGGGAGCCAGGCAGTTGGTGGTGCAAGAGGCGTTGGAGACCACCTTCATGTCGGGGCTGTAGGCGTCCAGGTTCACGCCGCACACGAACATGGGCGCATCGGCGGATGGGGCCGAGATGATGACCTTCTTGGCACCGCCCTTCAAGTGGGTGGACGCCTTGTCGATGGTGGTGAACACTCCGGTGGACTCCACCACATACTCGGCTCCAGCGCTGGCCCAGTTGATGTTGGCCGGGTCGCGCTCGCTGAACACGGTGATCTTCTGGCCGTTCACCACCAGGAATCCGCCCTCAGCCGCAACGGTGCCCTTGAAACGACCGTGAGTCGAGTCGAATTTGAACAGATACACCATGTAGTTGACATCGATGAAGGGATCGTTGACGGCCACCACGGAGGCGCCCTTATCGATGGCGGCGCGGAGCACCAGACGGCCGATGCGGCCAAATCCGTTAATTCCGATCTTCGACATGGTTGAGTTTCTGCTGTCTTTTCACTTTTCCTCTCGTTCAGTTTCAGTTCGCTATTACGACTGCCGCTTTTTCCTTTTTCCGGAGCTTTTTTTGCAAACTATGAGTCGGTTCCTGCGGGGGTGACGGTGGGTAGATGAGTATTTCGCCAGCGCGCTGCGAAGGTCACACTTCAATTAAGCTAATGAGTCGCCTGAAATAAATCGATTAGAATCGAATTTAAAACGTTAGATTTTGATAAAGCATTCATATAAAGGGTTAGATTGAATGATGGTCCCAAGTACACCAAATTTTCGGTGCAACAGAAAGATGCTAACAACTTAGTTGTAAGACCTTTGTAATGGAATTACTTATTAAAATTTCGGAATAAAGTTAATTAAAATGTAAAGATTATAATGCATAAAACAACGTTTTGTATTCAGGCTTCCAGGTGATTTTACTTTTTATTGTTGCCAAATTTGTTTCTTAAGTAGTTTAATTCTAAAGCCCTTAACATAAATTACAAATTTTTACTCTAAATTAATAATTGTTTCTACGCATTCACTTTGAATTCAGATAGCAACAATCGATAGACCGATGTTTTTCGATTAATGGTCACTCTAATTTGAATTATATTAAAAACAAATAACTCTGCCAAAACAAATCTGTTCTTGGCCGAAATGGCAGCCGCAGCTGATGGAATCGATGGAATCTTCTCCGTCCGGCTGGTCATCGCGGATTTCTATATGGAGAAGCCGCAGTTCGGCATGGATCCTTGCTATTCGGAGCTGCGCGGCAAAGAAATCAAGCGGGTGAGCCGGTCTATTTCACCAATCATGAAAAACTGGGATAACGATTCTTCCCATTGCAGGTGCCAGTGATTCGGGTATTCGGCGGCAACTCCAGAGGCCAGAAAACATGCATGCATGTACATGGCGTGTTCCCCTATTTCTACATTCCGTATGACAAGAATGACTTTGAGTGCCTGGAGCGGGGCATCCTGCAGATGGCCATGCACCTGGACAAGGCCATCAATATATCCCTGGGCCAAGGCAGCTCCAACGCCCAGCATGTGTTCAAAATTCAGCTGGTCAAAGGCATGTAAGTTCTTCGTAAACGTCTTCTTGGTGTAAATCTCTAGCCGACGTACCTTTACAGACCCTTCTATGGCTACCATCGCATGGAACATCAGTTCCTCAAGATCTACATGTTCAATCCCCGCTTCGTACGCCGTGCCGCCAACCTTCTCCAAAGCGGCGCTATCCTGAGCAAAAACTTTAGTCCGCACGAGTCGCATGTGCCCTACATCCTGCAGTTTATGATCGACTACAATCTGTACGGGATGAGCTATGTGCATGTCCCGCTGGAGGTTCTCAAGTTCCGGCGCAGCCATGACGATGAGGGTAAGCTGGGCACATAATCTCTTCAAGTTGCTAACTAACCTATCTACCCTTTAGTAATCCCCTATGCGAATGTGAAGCCAGCGCAGCTGCTAGACATCATAAGCGTGAAGAAAGTGGCCTGCAGTGCCTTAGAAGTGGATGTCAGCTCAAACTTCATACTGAATCGGTTCCAGCTAGTGGCAAAAAGCAAGAGCAGCCAAACTAACCCAGGCATTGAGGCCATCTGGAATGATGAGAAACTGCGCCGAGAAAAACTTGTCGAGAAGCACACCAATGCTGGCGATGCGGAGAAGGTTCAAGCGGTACTCCGGGAATCCATGTTGTATTGATAAATCCTAGTCTTTTTTCCATTGTAGGTACCCGTTTTGCAATTACCGCCAACACAAGAACGTCATCGAATTGAAATAGCCGAGAGCGATATCTTCTACCGCACCGCTCTGGAGAGTAAGTTGATGTCACTGGAGCAGTCCACACTGTCCGAGCAAACGTTGTCGGATCAGACAACCCTTTCCAATGTAACCATGCAGACCACGTTGCCCGGCACAAAGGCGCAGAAACGCACGTTCAACTTGCAAAAACTTCTAGCCAACGCCGTTTATCCGGAGGAGTGCTCACAGGATCAGCAGCAACTGCTGGTTAATGCTTCCTTTATACAAAACCATGTTACCTGCGGTTACAGCAGCAATGTGTGCCAGTCAACCCCCAACGATGAGTCCGAATACATGGACGAAACTGTAGTGGATGAGGACCTAATTCTGAGCCTTACACAGCCTCATGGAGCGATACCTCATGATGCCACCTGTGGGTAAACGGTTGCCAAAACTGAAACTCCCTTTTTGTTAATAAACGAATTTTTTCTTTTTGCTTCAGTGAGGGAGGAGGATTTGGAACTTTTGGATGCGTTGCAGCTGTTGGAGGAGCAGAACGAAAATGAATCCCATGTGGATTTAGACAGCTCATTGGCCCCTTTGTCGCAACATAAAAATTGTGGGTGCTCTAAGGCATTTTTTGTTTATAATTCTATTATTGTTATGATTCTATATTTTGTAGTCGAACTGACACCCGGGCAGTTGGACAAGACGACTGCAGCTGCTGCTGCTCTCTTCGATGAAGATGACTCCGACGACGATGCAGACCAAGTAACCCGACATGATTTCTCCACCGTCCTCGACGATGTAGATGAGCTGTTGCTTAAGCTTACTCAAAGTCAGTTGGAGCCTGCGGAATCAAAGGAATTGAAAGCATCTGCTAAATTGCCGCAAGTCGATGGCGCTGACGATCGCTTACAGAAGACACCCATTAAATCGATCAGCTCCAAGCCAAA